TTTTTTTTTTTTTTTTTTTTTTTTTTTTTTTTTTTTTAGCTTGTCATTGTTTTGGGTATTATTGCCATACAGTTCTTGTTAGAAATAAGTAATATGGTTAAATTGTGCTCTGATTTAGGGCCCGTTCAGTTCTATCCAATCCAAAGCCTATCTAAACCTAAAGTAATAGTAAACCTTTATTGTTGTTTTTTTTTATAATAGGTCCACACTTACCTGATTCTGGTGTTCTTCTTTAAACTGCTCTTCTTTCTTGTGCTCCAGCTTGTTGCCAAACCACTCCCTTCTCGATCCCTTTGCAGGCATCTCCTTCAGCTTGCCTGCTCCCAGCTGTGCCCGCACCTAGCTGTGTGCTTCCATAAACACAGCATGCGGCAGGCTATGCCCCTCCTCTCCTCCCAACTGATTGACTGATGGCAGAAGGAGCCAAAGACTCCTCTGCCCTCAGTACCCTCCCTTCACAAACAGGAAGTACAGGGAACAGTGAAGACTTCACAGACCCAGCAGAGGTGACAAGCGAATGGAGGTATGTGTGGGGCAACATGGAAAGATGCTGGGCCTTTATTTACTTTAATGCAGAGAATGCATTTATATAAAAAATTCCCAGCCTTCAGTACAACTTAAAAATGAAAATGGAATATATTGCAGCTTACCAATCTTTAGATTACATTCGTTTTTTAGGCTAACAACATTTAAAAGAAGTTCAGATAATGCCTTGATCTGGCCAGAAATATAATGTCCTTGTAACTGGTATTTCAAATTGATCTTCCTTCAAATTTTCTTCTGTAAACTACTAATTACCCTGCCACTCATGTTATTTAGATGGAGGGTGGAAAACAAGTCTGTGGTCCTGTCCTAGTTTAGCAACCATGGTGTTCTCTCCATGGATATAGCAGAGTGAGTATAGGCTACCCTAGGATAAGATGTGTGTTTAGAAATAACCCCCCCTTCCATATTGTCCATGCATTTAATGTTCCCCTATATTCAGGTTACCCACCACATCTATTACCCATTCCCTAAGGCTCCCAGTTCCCACTCCCTTTTCCTGGGACTAGACATCCAAGGGAATATCCCTGGATTGCCCAGTTCATTTTTATATTCCTTGTTAGGCCTGTTTTATATTCAGTTGAACTGGTTGTACTATGATGTCGCATATTACCTTTGTTTATTTAAAATGAATGACTATAAATATTTTTTTTAAAAACTAATGAGAAGAAATTAAAGAAATAAAAGCCTAATCAAAGGAAGCTGAAGCAACCACCACATCTTAGGAAGGGTAAGCTGCAATATATATCTTAATATCCACAGCGAAAGAACTGAAGTCTTTGTCTTGGCGGCTCAGCTAACCATGCTTCTCCAGCTTCACTGATGGGAGTGGTGGAACAGTGTGAGCTAAGCTGGCACAGGCAACGATTTTGCTATGAAGGTTTAGGATTCATTTTTCCATAGTGGCTGTAGCTACAGATGTCAGTGAGGTTCGTTTTTTAAAGCTCATTATGGCTTAATATGCACATATTGAAATGACCATAAGAAATCTGCATTGCAGACATACGTAAGTTGTAACTGCTAGCTGTCAGGCAGAACCTGAAAAGTGTGATGATCAGGAGAGCTGATTTCACTTGCCAAACACTTGTTTTGGGTCTGTGAATTTCAGAGATTAAAGCCAGAAGATCAGCATGGGGAAAGTAATTCACATAAGGAACAGAAGGAAGTTGGCAGTGGCAGCATACTATTTACTCTTATGTCAGATTTCCTGCACTTTCTGTTCTCAGTCCCCTACCCTTGAGCTCCACTTTAAAGCATATTTCCACTTTTGGAGTCAAATGTGAGAAAACCCCTCCTATATGTTTGTTGTGTTCCCATTCACACAACATACTGAAAAATTATTTATTTTTTAACCACTTCAAGACCAGGTGTTTAGACCCCCTTCCTGGCCAGGGCATTTTTCAGTGTTCAGCGCTGCAGTCCATGTTTCTTTCCTTACCTTAATTAACTTACAAGGAGAAGAAAGGCTTGTAATCCTTTAACCCCTCACAGCCCCTCCTAAAATTACAAAAGGAGAAGCAAATGGACATTTTAACCCTTAAGAAGCCCAAAAACCCTAATCCAAGTCTAAGCAATTTAAACCAAGTATTTTTATTTTTTTTATTTTTAGCTTATGCTATGTGAAAGGGAACATGTAACACTTTTATATAGGTGTTATCCTAAGTTGGCTGCGTAAGTTGGAAGACACTTTAAGGTTTCATTCACACTGGCAGTGTTAAAACTCCATTTACGTGCATTTAGAGGACATTTCTAAACTCCATGTAATAATTTTTAATGGTATCATTCAAACTGATTGCCTGTTTTTAGATTTGATCAGCTTAGCTTTCATTTAGAAAATCTAATTCTGTGTGTCCAGTGTCTGATTAGAAACTTTATACCTAAACTAACTAAAACCACTTTGTGTGAGTTAGGCCCTTTACTCACTAGTAGCATCAGTGGCCCATATGTGATATTGAGGCGAAATCAAGTACTATACTCTGCTGTGGGAAATGTGCTTATGCCGCCCACCTTGTTTCTAATTTTTCATACAGTAAAACTGTATGTTCATGCAGCAATGGCCACAGCCTGTGTAATATGTATCACTATCAGGGAGTTCTACGGAGACAGAACACGCTCGAGTAAGCCATGCTTTACCCATGTATTTTACTATTTCTGAACTAAATTCAGATGTTGTGTGCACATTGTTAAAGTCTGCCCTTGGACACATTCTTATACTTCAGTCTGCAGTTATGTCCTAATAGCTTGCCTGGCACAGCAGTTATTTTGTTTAAAGTCTGCTGCTAACTTAATATTGTGCCCATGTTTCAGAGCAAGGCAGACAATAATTTTGTCTACACCTTACGGTCCTTAATTACTACATTAAATAACTTTCAGTCTTGAGAAATGCATTATGGTACCCCAGGGCATTATTCTGCCCCCTCTTTTATGACGGCACAGCAAACTCCCTTTAATCAGTCATTGTTGAAACATTGATTTTCATTACTCCTTTCCGCAGGTAAAATATTAGCCCACGTAAAATCTAGAAAACCCCTTTCTAATCAGTCAGCAACTCTGTGAGAGAAGTACATTTCCATTTTCAAGCTATTGCTCTGGTTAAGATAAATTTTGTTTTGAAATCGTGCGTACCGTTAATAAAAGCACATCGATCATTCAAAAATGGTCCTAAAAAGAAAATGCATAAATATAGAAGGTGCAGGAGCAACTTATCCATTTTAAGTGTGCTTCTGACAGCTTAATTGGTGGAGCAGATTCGCTAACAGTTAAATTCATTTCAAGTCTGACCAGAAGATCTTCTCATCTGAACAACTTGGCTGCTACTGGCTCATTATTTAGACCGGGATTGGCTTGAGAACGGATGGCTTTTACTTGCCACTGAGTTTACTGGACCAATATGCATTGAAATATATTGTTTTATTTAAAGGGAATTGTTCACGTGGTAGTAGTAACTATTACCTGCAACAGAAAAATGGAATTTCATCCAGGAAGCCAAAATAAAGCTGTTTGTTGTCATGTTTCTGTTAGTGATTCTGTGACTTTCGCTGTCTTTAAAGCACTGCTGTTTATTTGTTGCCTATATAAAATATACCAAAGCCATATTTTTTACAAGCACTTGGTAAACACATTTACCACATTCCTGGGGCACTGAGAGAGAGAATGCAATGTTTGAAGGATTGCTGGAGGTCGGGTGTCAGGTCTTACTGCAAATGTCTTATGCACACAGTCAATAAGACAGACCCATAGCTTCATTAGTTGTTAGAAAGCTGCTGATGTTAACACCTGTGGGGGATCTATTTAACATGACTGAGGTCAGCTGCCTGACAAAGTGACCACTGCAGTGATTTGATAACTGAAGTGCTGAAGACTGATCTTAAACTGAATAGCTCAGCATTCGCACATGGCACAAGACATTTCTGTCCTAAATAAAGATAGTTCAGGTTTGAAGCAGTTATAATAGCCATTGACTGACTGTGACATGTTTACCTTATATGTGCAGTATGTCCCTGGCTTACTGCCAGGGGTGGACAAATTAATATAGACTTTAGGAGCCAGCAGGAGTTTGTAGGAGCTAGCTCCATTGAAAACTAGAGAAAACTCAAGTCAGTTGCCAACTGAAATTTTAAGGAGCATCAGCTAGCAAAAGAAAACAATTGATTTGGTTGAATTGAATTTGAAAAACCGCCTCTGATTTACAAAAAAAAAATGTATATTGATCGAAATGCTAATTTAATGTATTTTTTTTACTGAAAGATAAGATTCTTTAATTGAAATTTTTATATGGAAGCGTCTCTTTTGTTATGCATGTCAGCATTAAATACCTGCCCAAACCCATGCCAGTGCAGGCAATATGAAATGTTAAAGTTGTGCAGAGAGAGAGAGAGAAAAGGTATGTTGTTCAATGGGTCAGCACCTTTGTGCTGACCCATTGCACAATTCAGAATCCAGTGCTGGCACACTCAGTCAGTGAATGCACAGACTTTTTATATCAAGAAGAACTACATATAGTAACCCACAATGTAATAATAAAAAAAAAATTAAAGCAAAGCTTTCAGACAAACGTGGGGTTACCACTGCTTACACCTTAATGGGAATGCTAATTCCCTGACTTTTATACTCAGTTGCTGGCTTCAAAACATTAGGTCCCTTACCCAGAACAAATATACTGATCAGAAAACCTATATGTCCTTACCCACATATCTGCACTAGGTTAGAATCAAAGTAATGGACCAAAAAGTTCAGCAGTGAAGTTAACCAACTATAATACATGGTTATTAACAAAAGGGTGAAGAGTTTGGAGAAAGCAGAAGTGAATAATTTAGGACAACATAGCTGGCAACATAGGTGAACTGGAAAGTAAGCTGAATTGGAGAACTTCAAAATCAGATGTTGTCCTAGTTCGTTCACTTCTCCTGCCTTCTCCAAACTCTTTACCCCTTCGTGAATAACCCTGCTTAGTATTTTTTTTTTAGAGGGTAAGGTCAGCAGTGACCGCTTTTTTTGTTTCTCCCATTTCATGTTTCCTTTGAACAGTTCTTCAGAGAACACACATGCATTGAAAAGAAGTGTTTTAGGTTACTCTGGTTTGTACAATCATGCAATGTAGCAATCAAGATATACAGTCAGTTGTGGACAATATTCAGTCATCTAGTTTGGAATAATTGAGCACATGAGATTCATTAATATATAAGCTTTGTTTTGTACTGTATTGTAAACCTTGGATTTGCTTCATACAACTGGTAATTTCTTCTTTCTTCATTAGGCTTACTGTGGGTTTTTCAGGGAAGGAATTGAACCTAAAAATCTTTCAGCAGTGGCAACTGGCAACTGGGGATGTGGAGCTTTTGGTGGGGATCCTAGATTAAAAGGTGAGAAGGGAAATTTTAAAATGAGCTTATAACTATTTAAAAAACAGTTATGACTAGAACTGATGCTCTCCCTAATAATGTGTGCATGTGTGTGTAATCTAACTTTATTCCTTACAGGTACTTTTTGGACAGCTATTTTAAAGGCGGAGGGAGCCCAGATATTATAAGTGAACTTTATATAATACTGCGAAGTGTGTTTTAAATTTGCATATACAGGTTGTAAATACTAATTGTAGACATATTTATGAGTCAATAAGTTAAAATTTGAGCCATTAAAAAGGTCAAGGGATATGAGTGTGGGCGGGAAATAAACAATTTGAGTGATTAATTCAGTGTCTCAAAGGGATAATGATTCAGACCCCAGAATGTCCCTGGCAATCACCATGGCTGATGGACATTAATCAGGTTGTTATTTTTATTGATAATGTGTGCTGTGAAAATAGAGTAATGACTGGGTTTGAAAATCTGTTGATCAAGAGGCATGGACCCACTATATCCGTTGAATAAGCTGTCCAGGATTTATTCTTCTTGCACCCATCAGAAATGTTTTGCAAACATAGAAAGTACTTAAGTAGTGCTAGCATCCTCCAAGTGTTGACTGTTTTTCAAAATAGTAAGTTGGTACAAGCATAATGGTAAACAACCTTTCAGTGTCTCCTGATGTGATGGCGAACACTACTACATGAAACTGTACTAGGACAAAAATGCCATTAAAGATTATTTAATTTAAGTTTTAATGAATGTTGGAACAGTTGTTTACATTTTGTTTTAAAAGATTGCTTGTACATTACACTGCCCCTTAGATAGTAATTGCCTTGCCCTAATGACACACATGCTGAGCCTAAAGTATGGTGTATCATTCACTTGTATTTATCTTTAAAAATGTGGCCTACACCAAGTAAATTATTCTAATTGAGCCTGTTCATATATCACAAGACATAGCTGCACAAAAAAGTAATCTCCAACAGAGTTCAGTCTGTCCATATGTACACAAATCCTCGTGTTTCCTTCACTAGATTTCCCTCATTGCATTACCTATTGTGCCATGTTAAGAACAGTGATTGACCAGTCACCCTGAGTCTTAATATCTCCTCCCTTTTCTATTTGCTACCTGGCTGTGTCTGTATACTCAGCTCACAATGCTTCATACCTGTGTAATAAATTAGCAGTTACATTTCTTGCTATGCTCTATAGCTCTGCAAACTATCTTTTTCCTGTATGTCTGTGAAGGTTCTCATTCACCCAGGTCATGGTATATCTGTAAAAAAAAAATAAGTCAAGGCAACTGGACTTGCTGTATATTTTTTGAAGACGTTTCACTGGACATCCGGCCAGCTTTCTCAATTCAGAATGACTTGTACAAAAATTATCTGGGAATAAATATGGTGAATACATACATTTGCATAATTGGAGCTGGAAGGTGTTATTACCTGCCCAGAAACGTCTTCAAGAAAAATACAGCAAGTCCAGTTGCCTTGACTTATTTCTTTACAGATATCCATTTCCTGGTCAGTGTGAATTCTTCAGGAGAGTATTGCACTTGTGCTTGTTTCATACTCCTTCCCTAACACTTAGAATAAGTAAAATTCAAAAATGGAGTATTGAGGAAAACTAGAGGCAAAACATTTGTTTTTTAGAATATACTGTCTAAAACAGGACACCTCATTGCACCTTTTTGTGGGCTTTAGAACTGGTTTGTAAAATATGGTGTTTTTTGCTTGCCTTGTGCTACATATGTCTATCAAACATGTTATCTGTACCTGGCCAAATATAGAAACCTCTAACTACCCACAAAATTTGGACAATTCTTAGAAGCACTGAATATGTAGAATTTTCAGCAGCTCTTTCATTGTTGTCTGCTGCACCTGTCCAAGCCCTGTTTGTTCTTTGCGTCAACAGGCACAATTTTTCTATTTCCGAGAGCTCCGCCAAACCAAATTTATCTTTTCAAGAAACAACACATTTGATTTAGGTATTAAACTATGTGAGTTTTCTAAATATAGGACCTTAAAAGGAGTAGCAGTCTTTCTGGTTGAAATCAAGACGTTACGAGATCTCTCTGGTCCACTGGGTGGCAGCTTTGTCTTGGTCTGTTTTCATTCTGTGAAGTTATTATTTTTCCATAGAGATTATTCCTCAGTCCCGAAAACAGACATTCTACAATGTATTTTTTCCTTTAAATGTTAGTTACTCTTAAATAAGTGTTTTATGTATAAAATACTTCCTGAACCAGTAAAATAATGTTTGGTATATTTATCTTACCCATGCAATGCAGCTTAGTCAATTGAAACTATGTAAGTTAAAATAAGCAAATGGCACATAATGCTTTGGTGACTTGACCCCAAAATGCACTTATTGTTTGGCAAAGTGCACAAAAACATTGCACTGTTAAACCTTTATATGTAAATCTGTATATGAAATGCAGTATATATTTTATACAGTCCAAATGTGCAATATCAGCCATGTAAAGTCACATCAAAAATTTAAGTTTTTAAGCAGTTACAGGAACAGGTTTTTATTGTTTTTGTTTGGAAAAACAAAAGATTTAATCGACATAAAACACTGTAAACAAAAACACTAATGTGTTAATACTATTGGCATACTGTATCATATATGTATTTTTTTTTTTTTTGGCCATAGTTCTGCTTTAAATGTGTACTTAATGCAAATATACTGTAGTTTAAGTTATGTGTATAATGTCTGTGTAGCCATTAATTGTAAACTATATTTTATGAATGGCTCATATTATAGTAAAACAAACAATCTTCAGATGTTGCAGAGTGATCAAGATAAATTCTCTATAATTGTCTTACGCCCATGCATATGCAGTTCATTATAATTGGCATTGCAAATGAAGGCAATGAAGCTTGGCTAAATGAATAGCTTGATTAAATGTCGTCTTTGAACAACTCTCTAAGTGATCATTACATATCAATCTTTTGGATGATGAGGGGTGATTTATCTTAATCAAGTGCAGCTACATGTTGGTGCAATGTGTAAAGTATTAATAATAATGATCCCAACAACTATAATTGAAAATTAGAGGATTTATTTAAAGGATAGCTGCAATTTCACTTGAAAAGGTTAAACCCAACTCCAGGCAAAATATGTTTTTGGTTAACTAGGGGAAGGGTTATAACCTTTTCAGTTAGGTGTTTTGTTGTTGTTGTTGTTTACTGTCTGTTCATGTTGAGGTGATTTTACCTTGCTTTCTTTCCTGGTAATCAAACAAACAATAATCAAAGTATGGCAATCTAGGCAATGGGGGCATGGACATTAAGCTAATGGAGAATCTTGCCTTTCACCACTCTATTTTTTTTTTCGAAAATAACCATTTGTCTATATTTTAAAATAAAACAGAAGTCACTAATTTGCGCATGGAGCTCTGGTTTTTTAAAGAAGAACTATGGGGAGAGTGAAATGCACACATCCCCATAGTTAGAGGTCTGACACTGCAGCTGTCACACGCAGGCTCTATAGATCAAGAATTGAGCAATCGCAAACTGCTGATTGCCAAGTTCACAATCTTTTCCCTGCAGAGAGTGATGACCGTCAGTCCCCACATGGATACCCCCCCTCCCATCTCCATTCCACCAGCACTCACTGAAGGGACAAATGGGGCAGGGGGTAAGCACAGCTTGCCCTCTAAAGTGGCAGATCCTACTGTCAATAAGGCAGCAGAGTGGTTCCCGACAATATTGTTGGGATCTTCCCAGGCTCAAGCACAGCTCTGCGCTGTCAAGATATAACGGATGCTATTTGCTGAGTATTGGGTCACAGGAGTACAGTAGTAAATGTCCTCCTGGGACCCAGAAGAGAACTAAAGCCAAAAAAGATTTGTCCATAGTTCTCTTTTAAGTTAATTCAGAGATGCTGTCTGCGTTGATCTTGCTGCCCAGCTAGTTGGTTAGGGAAACATCCATGTAACATTAATGTAGAGACAACAAAGAAACCCAGCGCACATCTCGAAGTACAGTGGAAAAGTAACTGTTTAGTAAAGACAAAAAATAATGCACTTGCAGAATATTTACAAATCTTGTCTGTCACACATCAAATGGAAGTCTACTGTAAGCTGCTGGTCCAAGATCGTTCTCAGTATAGAAGGCCCTGAGTCCAGTCCAGAAAAGTTCCAGATCACTCGCGCTGTGTGAGAAAGAACTTATCTGAGACCCCATACACACTGAGCTACATCAAAAAAAGCTTTTTTTTCAGTGCTGATTTGAGCTTAGTGACTTTGAGAGACATTGAGCTACAGTGCACATATTGTCGCACTACGTGGCATGGACTTCGTAGCTGTTGCATTGGGCTGTATCCAATCAAAAGCGGTCTTGATGTGACATAATTCCTCTTCCTGCTTATATTTCTGTGCTAAAGTGACACAGGCGATTCAGATGCCGAGCTGTTTTCGAATGCACGGCTGTTCATTGTAAAGCGCGATTTTCAATGCATAGAGATGTCTATGGGACCCAAACAGCGCGACAACAGGCTGAAAATGGCGCCTGCACCTTTTCGCGAGACAGGCAATTTCAGTCATGCAACAAACCGCAAAGATGTGAGCAGCCTCCATTGACTTTAATGCAAATCTGTGTTTATAAATCGCTTAGGTGTGCACTGGCCCTCAAGCGACAAGCTTGAGCTATAAGCTACAGGCGACATTGAGCTGTGAGATGTGAACGGCTCCATTGAAATGCATTGGACAAGCTACATTGAGCTGACGTTTGAGCGATTTTTGAGCTGAAATCGTGCTCCAAATTGCTCAGTGTGAATGGGGGTCTGATGGCCGAGCAGTGCTGTAGCTGGTTCTTCTCCAGACGGGGCCGCAGCTGCTGGGTATGTCTGGGTCATGAAGTGTCAGGTGTTAGGCAACATGTTTCAGGGGTTCACCTCCTTTTTCAAGCCAGAGAAAAATGAGATGAACCTATGAAACACATTGCCTCAAGCTGGAGAGAAGGATGCTTGACACTTCAAGACCCAGAGGTACTCAGCAGCTGCTACCCCACGTGGAGAAGAAACCAGCTACAGCACTCTTGAGCTATCTGATCAGATCTGTGTCTCAATGCGCAGGTGATTTGGAACTTTTCTAGACTGAACTCTGCTCCCTCTACGTAGTGCCTTCCACATTGAGGATGATCTTGGACCAGCAGCTTAGACCAGACTTCCGTTTGATATTTGGCAGGTGGGATTTTTAAATATTCTGTAAGTGCATTATTTTATATCTTTAATTAAATAGTAACTTTTCTACTGCAGTTAAATCTGTGCTCAGGGTTTCTTTGTTTTCTTTACAGGATTTTTCTTTATGTTCTATTGAAGGACACATGAATAGTAGAAAAACAGACAGTTGAGTTATATTGCTGCCTTCACACGGTCTGGACAGTGGCAAAACAAGAAATGTTAAGGCAGCCCAATTAATTGAGCCCTCCAACCATCATGCTCAGGTTTTTGCTCATGTTCTAGGTGTTTTGACTGTTCACACCTTTTTTTTTTCCTTTTACTTTTTTCTGCTATATTAACCTTATTCAGGCTATCGAGAATGGCTAATCCACAACGATGCCTTAGAGGCCATCCCCTTACCCCGCTGGTCTGAGGATTGTGGGGGCCTGCCTGTGACATGACACGACTCTGCTTGTGGCATTTCCCAGACATCTAATGTACTGGTTTGTTAGCCACAGAGCACTTTACAGGCCCAAGGCTGTGGCACAGCATCTGGTATGACCCAGTCTCTAATTACTTATTTGTGCTAAGACATTCACACAGTAAGCTGTGTCGCAGTCTGTTTTCTCGATCTGTAACTAACCTGCGGCACAAATTATGTTCTGATGCCTACGGGCTCTGAGCTCTATTTAGTGGTCACTTCCTCTTGGTCATGGGGTACTAATTTCATGGCTGTTTCTGATTTGTGTGTGACAGCATTGTGACCTCACAATGAGAGGGTTTTAAAAAAATCTTTGTTAATATCTTGGCATACTTCTATCTGCAGGTTGACATTTTCATTCTACTATGTACTGTGACCTTTAAATGCTGTCCCCGTGTTTTGCCTTTTGGCACAGTCTATATCCCATACTCTCAGAGTGAGAGTATGGAGACGTGTTAAGGATTATATATTATTATGGTATGCAACTCTTCTAACTGGATTCTCCCCTCTGTGGTGTTAGCACTTGTGTACTTGGGCCTCCAAGAAGTCGCATTCCACTGCGAGGCTGTGGAGCAGAAATCCTATTCCTTCTGGCCTCTAATCTTGCTACCCTTCCTGCCTTTGATGGATTGTTCACTTCTGGCTGCCTACAGTCCCCACCATCACCTACTGCCCAGGCTGTAAATATGCTGGTCCCTACCTCTTCTTGTTCATTGCTCCTGACAACCAATGCAACATGTGAGTGACCTCACTTTTCCCTCCCCTACTATTTCTGGTGGTTCCTTTCCAGTTGCTCAACAGGAAACCTACACCTGTATTTTAGATTCTGGGACCCCTATTATTATAGCGTTATCCTCCTCACCAACTTCTACAGCTTCACTACCTGGGCCTGACATCCACACTGGGTCTACTGGGCCTCCTAATTCTAATTTTATTGCCAAAATAAAAAGAAGGCAAAAAATTTGTCTGATTCACACTGTACATGTTTAACTGAAATTACAGCAATTCTTTAAAAGAAATGTATAGGATTTTTTCATAGACAAACATGTAACAAATAGCTGCTTGATGTAAATAGGCTTGTCAGTACCTGTTAATGTTTTAAAAACCTTTTATTTTGTTAGTGCAAAATTAGCATCAGATAGGACACAGTGTTTTAGCAGGTTCCAATCAAAGTCCAGGTCACCACTTTTAGTTTATTGTAAGTTTTCCCACAGCTCAGCAGTTTAATAAAGACTTCAGGGTTGAAGTTAACTGCATTAATATAGCTTCAAAACAAGAAAATACATTCCTGTGCGATCGAGCATTAACAAACAAATATCTGCCCTAACTGGCAATTAAATAAAACATCACTTAACTTTTTGACCGAATAAAACAAAGGTATTAGGCACCTTTTTTTTATATTCAAAAGTCTGGTTCTGTCTCTCCCTCACAGATTTCCCCACCCCACCCCATTTAAGCTCCTGTGGCATTTCACTGCAGGGGCAAAATTCCAGTGGAGCATTTTACATAGGATATCATCAGCTTGAGCACCCCATCCATGACAAGTCCTAGGATCCTCTGCGGTCACCTTTTCATCTGTACTGATAGATTAACATGTATATTTAAGTCAGGACAGCCGTGTTTGTTCATTACATATGCCGGCTCTAAGTGTGATTTGGCTGACTCATTGAAAACTAAGAATGGTTTGGGTACATGAACTTCTAGCTGGTTCTGCAGGTTCACCACCAGAAATAAGGAGCAACCTGTAATGTAGTGCATCGGCTACAGTAATACAAGTAATACAGTATAAACTTTGCATGTCCTTTGCAAAATATAGCTTTTTTCCTTGGACTTGGTTCTGTTGAATTTATGGTAGCTTACTACTTGCACAGAAAAGGCACCACGAAATTTCACTACTAATAGCAGACTGGTTCAGAAATAAAAACCATGAAATATCAGACGGCCACTATTTTCTGAACATGTACAAAACAAGGCTGTAAATCACAGTTTAGAGAAGAGAGACTGATGATTGATTTGCCCTTCAGGTAAATTTTGTTCAACAAGCCATCTGGTAGAAGTTGTATAGCGATTATTATAAACTACAGTGACATCTCTTTGAATGTGGCTCAGAGTAATGAAGTGTAGACAACAAACCAGGTTTTGGCTAGTGATCCCATTTCAGCCTTGAGATTCATTGTCATATCCTTAGGAAAGCTAGAAAATTGATTGTGATATATTATAGCATATAGTGAATGCTATTTGCCATTTTGTCAGTTTGGGTGGTTTGTGTATTTCTTAAATCTGTGTATTTGCAGAAAAAAATTACCAACCTTATGAACTCAATTAAGCGTATTTCATTTAAAATATTTTCTGCTATTTTGTGGTTTTCTTTTTTGAGCAATTTAGCTCAGTAGCCTAGTAGTAATTTCATGTAGATTTTCTATTGAATTTTGAAATATTTACTTTGAAGGAAAATCGATTTTATTTGCAAAGACATTATTTTTCTTGTCTTCTGTATGTTGCGTAGTACATTATGCTTCGGTTCTAACTAAGCCACCATATTTCACTAAATCCTGGTCTGCACCTAGCACACATACAACAGGGAAAGCTCCCATCAGTGCATTACACATAAGGGAAATATCACTGCTACATTAGGTTACACAAATAGTAATTGCGCCATGCTCAATAATTGTGCTTAACACAACACATAAAAGTTGTACTAAAAATTATTTTGCATTGACTCTGTATTCTATGTGTATTCTCTGTGTACACTATACCTGTGTGCACTCTGTCTGCTGTGACAGGTTGTGTGTGTGTTAGTTCTGTGCATGGGCGTTGTCCATGACTGTGCGTGGGCATGCATTCCATTTGCTGTTCATTGTAAGATTATCTATTTATTGATTTGTATATAGATAAATATATCTGAATGGAGACTGTCCTGAAGGACCATTTCCTGTAGTGTTCCCAATTATCGTATGTTTAGCCACTTTTCTTAGATAAATAACTGCACAATGAGTTTCAAGGCATGTAAACAAACAACCTTGTTGCATTTTATGGCACCTCTTCATTAGCATCCACTTTCAGAAATACCCTTAAGTGTTCTGCGTAAGACATTTCCGAAAGATTACTGCCTTGTTTATGTGTTTCATACTTTCTTTGCAGCTTTAATACAACTTCTGGCAGCTGCAGAGACTGGCCGAGATGTGGTGTATTTCACCTTTGGAGACAAAGAGTTAATGCATGATGTCTATAAAATGTATAGGCTCCTTTGTCAAAAGAAGAAAACAGTAGGTGAGTAAACAAGGTTTTCCTTTTGGTGTATTCTGTCAATGTCTATAATAGTAATCGTTACTGGTATTCTCCCTTGGAGATCAAAACAACCATTATTGGTTAACAGTGTAACCTTGTCATTTTTTTTCTGTTCTCAGGTGAAGTTTACACATTCCTGGTGAATTATAACTATGAGGTGTGCAAGAAAACATCTGCAACAAGGCCAGAGACAAAACTGTATACCTTTATACACAACTCTTTATCCAAGTGAAGACATTGTGTATATAAAAGCAATTACTGCTTTGTACTTTTCCACAATAATTTGTTCATTCTGCTGGTTGTAACATATGGACTAGCATATACGGTGTATATAACCATACCTTTTAGTTCTATTTGCTTTATATGCCACAATCCCTTTTAGGGCTTTGTTTCTATGGTTTTATTTTTGAAATGTATTATGCTTGACTGGAATATATTTTCCATTGATTTGATTTTTCTTATATTTCAGAGTACATAATTATTTTATTAGATATTCTCTACGAATGCATTGCTGTGCCATGCCAACCTCTGAATGTCTATAGTACTCATATGATTGTAGCTTTGACACTGCTTCATCTGTTTTACAATCTAAAAGGGGATCAGCATCTTTTTCAGAGCTACATGTTTATCTGCATCTCCCACAATGCATAGCTAGTGATAACCTCATCTGACTAAGCATTATGAGATGTTAAAGTTACAAAAAGCAGTTGCTCCTGACTTTTCCTTTTCCCCAGTACCATCTGTTCTGTAGTGGATATAGCAGTGCTCTTCTACAATATACTTGGCTTACCTCTGTAATGCAAGCACAGCAGGCCAAACTCTCGTTGGTTTTGCACGTTGCAGCATTTTATAAAAAATTGAGGTGCAGAATATGACGGTTTTGTTTAATCTGCCTTGGTGAAGAATAAAAATTATTAAGTTAAAGTCTTGGTATGTTTTTTCTTTCTTCTTCAAACCACCTTCTGAATATATTTATTTTACAGATTTGTTAGTTTTACATACTGGATCTTAGTTTAATAAACTAGCAGTTATAATTGTTTATATATATATATATATACTAGGGATACTAGTATCGGTGCCGATACCGAGTATTTGGGCGAGTACTCGTACTCGCCCAAATGCTCCAATGCCTAGCCCGATACTTCCTATATCAGCTCTCTCGTCACTAGTGATAAGAGAGCATGGAGCTGGCTTCCCGGCCAATCAGGAAACCGGGCGCCGTGTACTGACGCAGCGCCCGGCATTCTGATTGGCCGGGAAGCTGGCTTCATGCGCCCTTGTAATCTCATGACGAGGGAGCATGGAGCTGGCCTCCCGGCCAATCAGAAGGCAGGACGTCGCGTCTCACACGGCGCCGGGCTTCCTGATTGGCTGGCCAGATGGCTCCGGCTGGGTACCGGAGGAAGGCCGCGTTCTGGCTGGAGAGGTGACGGGCTTGACATACCAAGGGGAGAGGGTACAGACTTTTTTGTTGATCGGGAAGCCGGGTGGCGAGTCATTACACGCCACCTGGCTTCCTGAATGGGACTTCCGTTACTCGGTAATTGGTATCAGCGAGTACCGGAAAAAGATTATCGGTACCAAAATACCGGTATCGTGGCATCCCTAATATATACCACTGCTCTATTTGATATAGTGTAGAAGTAGTAGGCACACCAAGTGTGAAGTAGTTTAGGAAATCCAGGATAGCAGAATTCCTGTGAATAATTTCATGTAATGTGTGGTTAATTTCAGACCAACTCAGACAGGTGGGGCAGCATCCGTGTGCCCAAGGCTGTCCAATTTTGCTAAACAATTTCATCAAATGCTTTTCATTTACAAATATGGCACTGCATAATAAAACCTGCAACAACAATTCAGTTCTATAATTGCTTTACATTTGGACAGAGTATCAAGGATTTTCTAGAAACGTGCATAATGGTTTGTGCAAGTAGGAGAGTTTTGCACCATGTTAAGACCATGTTTCATTAATTTAGAGACAAGGTGGCTCAAGCCATAAGAAATTGCTGATCAAATTAAAGTTTAAGGGCTCGTTCACACTAGGGCTGTGTGGTAAATCACAATAATGGTGGGCCCTAAATCACAATTGTGACAATCACAATTTCAAAATACCAACACATGTCACTCTTGACTGTCTGCAGACCAGCAACAAATTACTGTGCAAAAAATTTTTCTTTGTCTAAAACTGACAAACTGCTATTGGTAAGCGAAGGAACATCAGCACAGAAGTATCAGTAACTAGAAAAGGCAATCTGTGTCTGCGAACCCTGGTTTTACCTGCAACTTAATTATTAATTCAAGGTATGGCAATACTGCATTTGTGATGTAACCACAACATCCACAGTGCAACATCTACCCATCAACTATGGCCAGTTGCACAATACACTGATTGTCTGCTTAATAAGTATAAACTGTGTAATGCTACTGGAGCTTTAGGAAGTTGCTATTGGACTGAAAGCTGTAACCATGGCTAAGGGTGGTCCACAGCAGTACGAAATAGAGGCTTATATCTCTGAGGTTTTTTTTCCCCAAACTTTGTACATTTTTTAACAAAACATACAAACAACCCACACATAGCTAGGATAACAAACAGGATGGCAAGGCCCCCATACCCAGGAATCCACAGTATTGGAGAGCATAGTTCCATGCATGCACATTATCATGACAGTTGCTGAAGAGGACATGATGATATATTTATTTTTACATGGCTGCAATGTTAACCATCATTTAGCTGTCTGTAAAAATATTAACCAAGATACTCCTTGGAGTTTTCAACATTTTGTAGTTTTTTTTTTTCTGTAATTAAAATTAATTTAATTAGGCTAGTTGGCATACTATTTACACAACATGGAAGTACAAAATGTTATTTTTCTTTCTCGTTTATGAAGAGACACAGAATTCAGTTATTCAGGGACAATTGTTTATACTGCCACCTACAGGAGAAATTGGACACTGGCAAACACAAAAGTCACTGGCCATCCAGGTATAACCCCTCCTGCTCTCAGCGTGCTTCAGTTTTTTGCTAGCATGCTAGGAGGATGGATGTATTTTCTCTATTGAGAAAAGTTTACCTCTTTAACAAGTACGCCGTGTGGAGAGAGCATCAGGAGCAACTAATTGGAACTATTGAGCACCATCAATATCCCCCTTTTTTTGTTGGTTTCCATGGAAAAGGTTAGCACACTGGTGAGTTAAGAACTGCATTACTAGCTGCAGTGTCAAGCACATGCACTCTGCACTGTTCCTGCCTTTTCAGTGTGAGGAAACATCTTCCAGCCATTACTTCAATTTGCAAGAGACACCCGGTTTCACTTTAGTTAGTATTTGCTGTTGCCTACAGTCACCTAGTTTCCCCCACCTGTTTTAGCTTCTCCTTCCAGAAACTGGTTTGTAGTTGTCAATGGTTTTTACCTTATTGTTTCCAATTAGGTTGTGTCTTTTAAGCAGTGCAGCATGTCACAGGAGGCCTGGATTCGTCAATACGCTCTTTGGGGTCTTCCTTAGCTCCATTCGGTGTGGCTTCGCCCCTTCATTTATTAATGCAGTGCATGCCACCTTATAAATAGAGCAGCTTGTAGCTTCTATTGGTGCTCTTAAGAGTCTTTGATCAAAGAGAGGCCCTAAGACTATTGAAACCTTTATAGTACACTCCTTGCTTGAAGGTGTTTAGTACAAACATTCAAAAGCTCCAGTTTTACTGACCAGTACCCATTTAAAGAGGCCTTTATGAAAAACTGGGCCAATCCCACTGTGGATGTGGCCTTTTCCCACCCTAATGAAAACACTGACCATACCTGTTGGGGATGCACCAATGTTTAATAATCCTTTTGACAAACAAAAATCCTTTCCAAACCATAGTTTTCACTAACCGGTCCATCTTTGTAACCTGACATAGCCTTGATGTCAGTCTGTCAAACCTTAGGGGGGGTGGACTAAACTTATTTCAAAGGATCCAGCTAATATCCTTACATACCCTTAGGCGATTTAGTCGACATCGTCCGTCTTATTTTTAAATGAGACTCCAGTCCATGAAAATGCAGAGAACACTTTGGCTGAAATGTTTGTCTGTGGAACAGCAATGTAAATCACGCTTGCTGTGCATGCCTTTTAAAAGTAAACTGCTTTTTTTTGTGTTTTTATTTGGATACAATCCTAAAGGAAGTCACTGAGTTAGAAGTACTCAATTGCCCTTAAACTCCAAGGCCAAAAAGAGTTTCTTGTTGTTCTGTTACTTTAAGCTTTAAGGCCAAACCCATCCCCAGAGCTCAGTCCAATCCCAAATCCTGGATGCCTAAATCTCCCATACCTACAGACAAGTCCTCTTCAGCATGAAGGAACACCCCCACTTTTCACAATGGGGGAACTTCTGTTGACCATGTGGCTACCTGTCAGAAAGCATCTCTGATGCCTTAAGAGACGTGGTTTCGAGGAGATAAAAGCCAAAGTTCTGCTCTCTGCCCTTTCCCTGCTTCATGTTGTCCAACCAGCCTGTGTCCTCGCATGGGCTACAAGACCTCCATGTCACTCTTGCAGAATCTAAATAATCTATGTCCACTGGCCCTCCCCATCTAATTTACTGCTGACTTCCTCAAAGAATGGTAATAGGTTGGTCTGATGAGAACAGTCCTTCATAAGTCCATGCTGGTTTTGTTTAATTATACAAATTTTGCAGGCAAATTCTTGAATATAGTCCCTACTATTTTGTCCAATACCTCACATACTATTGATGTTAGTCTTACTGGTCTGTAGTTACCTGGTGTACATCTTGACTCGTTTTTGAATATCGGTACCACATTTGTTTTTTTGCCAATCGGTTGGTACAATTCCAGTAATTAAGATTTCCTAAAAATTTGTAGCAATGGCTATAACCCAGCTAAGTTCTTTGAGGACTCAAAGGTGTTAGCCAAAAGTAGCATTAAACTATCAGCTTTTTTTTTTGTTTAACAAATGCAGCTCAACAACAAAAACACTCCCCATTAAAGTATATGTAAAAAGGTTTGCCCAAGCACTTGTGGTTTAGAACTTTAAATACTGCTGGCCATTGCTTTCTCATCGCTGCTTTTTAGAACATCCAGTAAGGAAGTGGATGCACAAAGTACGACCTATGGAAGAGTTTACCAGAGGATAGTGCAGTCTCCAGCTGCTGTCAGTCTGTAAGCCTGCTGGACAGAGGAGCAATAGAGAACCTTGCCTTACGAGGCTATGGATGTTTGTATTAAATAAGTGCAGTGGGAGACACTGCTCTAGTCCCAGCCAGGAGCACACATTCAAGGGTGGCTCCATAGCACCCTGAATAGAAACAAAGCCACCTGAGAAAGAGAAGTGGAAGCCAGAGGAAGTGATTTTTGGACCACCTCAATCAAGAAGAAAGGAAAGCTTATAAAGAAGCAGCAGCATACAAGATAAGTGTCTTTTAAAAAATGTAGGGTTTAATAACACTTTAATGTACACAGCTCAAAAAAATTAAAGGAACACTTTTTAATCAGAGTATAGCATCAAGTCAATTAAGCTCATGGGGTATTGATCAGGTCGGTTAAGTAGCAGAAGGGGTTGTTAATCAGTTTCAGCTGCTTTGGTGTTAATGAAATT